AGAGGAAGAGAGAGATTCCCCCCAAGAGATGGAAGCACCCTAAATATCCATCAACAAATGAACAGATAAAGAAAATGTGGTATATAAATACCATGGACTATTATTAAGCCTTAAAAAATAAAGAAACCCTGCCACGTGCTGCCACACGGATAAATCTTGAAGACACTTTGCTAAGTTAAAGAAGCCAGTCACAATATGGCAAATATGGCATGGTTCACTTACATGAGGTATCTAAAGTAATCAAATTCATGGAAACAAAGTAGAATTGTTGCCAAGAGCTGGGGCAGGAGGAAATGGGGTGTTGTTGTTCAATGGGTATAATTTTATAGTCATGCAAGATGAAAAAGTTCTAGCAGTTTCTTGCACATCAGTGTGTATATAGTTAACGATATCATACACTCAAAAATTGTTAGGACGGTAAGCTTATGTTATGTGATTTCTTACCACAATAAGAAACAATAAATTGACTAAGGAGGGGATTTTAACTGAGTCCAGATAATGATGTGTGACAAACCGTGGGGTAAGTCATTTCTTCTTCTAAGACACTTGATCCAATAACTGCACTATTAGGAGATTAGGGTTAGAAAGCTCTTTGGTGGATTTACAGTTCAATTCAGGTTTAGTTAATTGTCTGCTGATTAATTAACAATGTTTAGCAAAAACAGTCTCTTTTTTATTATTACTTTAAAGAATGATAGACTTTAAACATATAGAAAAGTATGGAGAATAATGCTGGAAAAACCTACAAATCCATCACCATGCAGTCCCATTTCAACATTCTGCCACAGCTGCTTCAAATGTTTTTATCTCTACTTTTTATTTCAAAATTCAAAAATAAACATGAAACAAACAAAAAAGCTAACTATGACATAGTGAAGCCACCTGCCAGCCCTTCCTCCTTCTCTTGTGATAATAACTTCTGAGTTTGGTATTTCTTACTCGCATTCAGATTTTTATACTTTTAGCACTTATTACTGTACCTGTAAATAAAATATGTAATTATTTTACATGTTTAAAACCTTTATATGAACAGCCTCTTACTGTATATACTGTTTTGCACCTTGCTTGTTTGTTGGACATTTACGTTTTTGAGAGAACATGGTCTCCTTTGTTAACTCCTGAGATAAAGCTGAGACATCAACCCAGGCTGGTTTCAGGAGGTCACCTCTAGTTCCTCCAGGCTCCTCACCTTTCTGCCTGGTGTCCATTCTTCATCGGAATCCTCAGGGTCATCCACATGGAGTTTGGCCTGCCTTCGGTGACACATGAAAGCTGGTCGAGGGGCTCTGCGACCTGGAAAGAAGCCAAATCTTTGTCTTAAAAGGGAAGAGGTGGGAGGAGGAACAAAGGGTGGTGGCAATGGAAAGCACCACAAAGCCAGTGTGACTCTGCGTGGGCTGGGAGAGTCTTGAACAAGGTCAAGATGTGAGCTCTGCATGACTAGTGCCGACACTCAGCCGTGCACTGACAAAAAAAAAAAAAAAGAAAAAAGAAAAAATTTCCCCTCCAGATTTGTCTCCATACAGAAGGGAACTGTGGGCAGATGCAGCTACCTGAGAGCCAAAATAATACAGGCACAGAAGACCTGTTTCATATTTCCCAGGCTGGTCTGCAACCAGCACTTCCTGTTACCTTTGTTAATCAGCTCATTATAGTCCCTTTTCACATTCCTATAGCAAATTTTCTCTCATTTTCCCATCTCCACCCATTCTTCCTTGGAGAAGTATATGGAAATGTCTTTGAAAGCATCTTAGCCTAGAGAAAATAATAGATTTCATCAATGATTTACTGTACACATCACAACATCAAGTGGGGCCTTTTTTCTGCCTTGTAATCGTAACAAGCAGAACACAGCCTGGGGCCTTGGAGTGGTCTCTGTGAAACAAGGATAAAGACGTTTGTTACCTCCCTCCCCAGATTGTGTCCTGTTTAAAAGAACACAGCATCTGCCTTGCTCTCCCCTGACACAGAGAGTTTGATTCTAGTGTCCTTTTCTCCCCCATGTCCCAGACAGGACCAATAGTCCCCATTCCATGCACATTCATAGCCAGGGTTGCACAGAGGTGCAGGCCACTAGTCTGCAGCCCTCCAGACATCAGGTCCTTGTCACTAGGTCCCCCTCTGCATCCTTCCTACAAATCCTGCTTGGAGCCCAGCTTGACTTTCCCTACCTCTCACTGTGGGCTTCCGCCCTGTTCTCCCTGCATCTCCCTCAGGATTCTCCTCTGGGGACCCGTTGAGGCTCATGGTGCTGGAACAGGCCGGCAGGCTCTGCTCCAACTCCAAGGCTGGGAAGGGCTCCTGAGTCTCCCAGCTGCAAGGCCAAGGCTCCTGTGGAAAGAGAGGGCACTGACAGGGGGCCACAGCCCAGACCACTGCCCAGAGCCAGGCTCTGTCTTCTCCACTTGGTTGTGGTGCCTAGACTAGGAAGATGTGGTGACCCTGCAAGGACTGGAGGATGTTGGGGAGGTCTGGGGGATATTGACGGGATGGGGGGGGTCTCTGCTGGCCATGGCAGACCACCTAATGTAAGCTGTTTTGTTTCAGTTTCCCTGCATCTTGACGCATCTGAGGAAGGGTGGCAAAGGTGACTGAGTTGACCCTCAGTCTTCTAGGGTTCTTCAAGGGGAGTCCTGAGGTGTGAGGGCTATGGGAGTCCCATGGAGACCTTGAGGCCCCCTGGCTGGCGGGACTCGGGTTACACTGACCAGTGGGGCTCTCCTCCAGTGAGAGGAAATGAACATTTCTCATAGGAAGGCTTCCGGGATCTCCACCAGGAGATTCTGGAAAACTCTGGGAGTAAAGCAGCCTGGACCTCTAAGGAGCAGCAATCCCTCAGGCTGAGGAGATTTGGGGTCTCCAAGGCCAATGAGATTTGGAGTCTCTCAGGCTGAGGTTCTGGGGTTTCTCAGGTCGAGGAGATTTGGGGTATCTCAGGCTGATAGTATTTGGGGTTTTTCAGGACAAGATTTTGGGTCTTTCATGCTGATGAGATTTGTGATGCTCAGGCTTAGAGGCTTTGGGATTCATCAGGTAAAGGGAATTTGGTGTCCCTCGGGATGAGAGGATGTGGCATTTTTGAGGCTGAGGAAACTCGGGGTCTCTCAGGCTAAGGAGATTTGGGGTCTCTCATTAGGGGGCATTAGGTTCTCTGACACTGACGTTATTTGGAGGTCTTTGAAGCTGAAGGACGTGTCCAGGCTGAGTAGGATCTCTAAGGTTGGGGAAATTCGGTCTCTCTGTGGCTGTGGTATTTAGGGTTTCCCAGGCTGGGGGGTTTGGGGTGCCTTAGGCTGAGGGGAATTGTGATTCCTCGGGCTTAGGGTATTTGGGCTCTAAGCATTAGGGGATTTGGCGTTCCTGTGGGTGAAGGGATTTGAGGTGTCTGAAGCTGAGGTGCGTCAGGGTCTGAGGCCGAGGGGGGTTGACGTCGGTCCAGGTTAGCTGATTTGAGGTCTCTTGGGGATCAGGGGATCTGGGTTTTTTCCCAGGCTGAAATTTAAAGGTCTTGGGCTGAAGGTTTACAACGGTTTCTTACTGCACAGCAAAGATTTCCCGAGTTCCTGTCACTCTCTCTGGGTTTCTCCTGCTGCGCTGCCCACCCTGGCCTGGCTCCCGCTCGGATCCTCTGAGGAGGGAGACGACAGTTGAAACGGCCACGCAGCCGCTGGTACCACCAAAGCGCCAATCCGAGCTCCCGCCAATGAGCGATCAGGAGGGCATAAAGGGGCGGAGAGTAGGGCAGAACCTAAGCATGCCGGTCACAGGCACCACTCAGTCATAGGCTCGGGCGTCAGGGCGGGACCTGGTCTTTCCGGACTTGTGGACGATCCTGCCCAAAACCTCAGGCATTCGCCACTCTGGGTACTGCTCATGCGTCACTCAAGAAGCCTCGCGTCCAGAAGAGCGGTCTCTCAGGTCCTGACCGGCCGTACAGGCCTGTCATGGTGCACAGATCCGGCTCTCAGCACTACGGTAGGCTTGCCCCGCGGTCCTGTCCACAGGGGATCTCAAAGGGGTTAGGGTTAGGGTTAAGGTTAGGTTTAGGGTGAGGGTTGTTAGGCTTAGGGTTAGGATTGGGGTTAGGGTAAAGGGTAGGGGTCGGGGTAGGGGTCGGGTGAGGGTTAGGTTTAGGGTTAAGGTTAGGGTTAGGGTTAGGATTAGGTTTAGGAGAAGTTTAGGGTTCGGGTGAGCGTGAGGGTGAAGGTGAGGGTGAGGGTTAGGTTTAGGGTTAAGGTTAGGGTTAGGATTAGGGTTAGGGCTAGGGCTTGTGTTAGGGTTGGGTCTAGGGTTAGGGTTAGGTTTAGTGTTAGGGTAAGGGTTTGTGTTCGATATAGGTATCAGTTCAGATTAGGGTTTGGGTTAGGGTTAGGGTGAGGCTTAGGTTAGGGTTAGGGTTAGGGTTTGGGATCGAGTTAGGGTTAGAGTTAGAATTAGGGTTAGGGATATGGATAGTGTTAGGGTTAGGGTCGGTTATGGATAGGTCTAGGGTTAGGGTTTGGTTTAGGGTTAGGGTTAAGGTGAGGGTGAGGGTTAGGGTCAGGGTTAGGGTTGGTTTAGGTTTAGGGTTAGGGTTAGGTTTAGGGCTAGGGATAGGGATAGGGATAGGGCTAGGAGTAGGGTTAGGTTTATGCTTAGGGTTAGGGTACGGTTTCGGGTTAGGGTTAGGGTTAGGCTTATGGTTAGGCTTAGGCTTAGGGGTACTGTTAGGGTTAGCACTAGGGTTAGGCTGAGGGTGAGGGTGAGTGTGAGGGTTAGAGGTAGGATTATTGTTAGGGGTAGTGTTAGGGTTAGTATTAGGGTTAGGGTTAGGGTTAGACTGAAGGTTAGGGTTAGGGTTAGGGGCAGAGTTAGGGCTAGGGCTAGGGTTAGGGCTAGGGTTAGGGCTTGGGCCAGGGTTAGCGTTAGGGTTAGGATTGGTCTTAGGGATAGGGTTAGTGTTATCTTTTGGGTTCTGGTTAGGGTGAGGGTGAGTGTTTGGGTTAGGGTTATGATTAGGGTTAAGGTTGGGAGGGTGAGGGTGAGAGTTAGGGTTAGGGGGTTAATGTTAGGGTGAGGGTAGGGCAAAGTGTAGGGTTAGGGTTAGGATTAGGGTTAGAGTAAATGTTAGGGTTACAGTGAGCGTGAGGGTGAGGTTGAAGGTGAGGGTTATGCTTACAGTGAAGGTTAGAGTTAGGGTTACAGTTTTGGTTCGAGTTCAGGTTCAGGATCGGGTTAGGGTTAGGGTGAGGGTGAGCGTTATGTTTATGGTTAGGTTTAGGGTGAGGGTGAGTTTTACGATAAGGGTTAGTGTTTCAGTTAGGGGTAGCATTAGGTTTAGGGTTAGGGTTAGGTTTATGGCTAGGGCTAGGGTTCGGATTATGGCTAGAGCCAGGGTTAGCATTAAGGTAAGGGTTAGGGTTAGGGTTAGGGTTGGGGTGAGGGTGAGGTTTAGGGTTAGTGTTAGGGTTAGATTAGGGTGATGGTGAGGGTGAAAGTTAGGGTTAGGGATAGGGTTAGTGACTGGGTTTGGGTTAGTGTTAGGGTGAGTGTGAGGGCGAGGGTGAGATTAAGGGTTAGGGTTGGGTTTAGTTTTCAAGTTTTGGTTCTGGTTCTGGTTCGGGTTAGGTTTAGGGTTACAGTTAGTGTTAGGGATAAGGTTAGTTTTAGGTTTAGGGTTACGTTTCCGGTTAGGGTTCGGGTTCAGATTAGTCTTAGGGTTAGGGTTAGGGATCGGGTTCGGGTTAATGTTCAGGTTAGGGTTAGGTTTAGGGTTAGGGTTACGATTAGGGTTAGAGCTAGGGCTTGGGTTAGGGTTGGGTCTATGGTTATGGTTAGGTTTAGTGTTAGGGTTAGGGTCTGTGTTCGATTTAGGTTTCAGTTCAGATTAGGATTTGGGTTAGGGTTGGGGTGATGGTTCAGCTTTGGGTTCAGGTTTGGGTTTGTGTTCGGTTTAGGGTTAGGTTTAGGTTTACGTTTAGGGTTAGGTTTAGGGATAGGGTTCGGGTTCGGGTTAGGGTTAGGCTTAGGCTTAGGCTTAGGGTTACTGTTAGGGTTATGGCTAGGGTTAGGCTGAGGGTGCATGTGAGAGTTAGGGTTAAGGTTAGTGTAAGGGTAAGTGTTAGGGTTAGGGTTTGGGTTTGAGTTAGGGTTAGGCTTAGGCTTAGGGGTACTGTTAGGGTTAGGACTTGGGTTGGGTTTGAGTTAGTGTTAGGGTTAGGGTGAGGGATTGGGTGAGGGTTAGGTTTAGGGTTAGGTTTTGGGTTATTGTTATGGTTACGGTTAGGCTTAGGATTAGTTTGAGGTTGAGGATGAGGGTTAGGGTTAGGGTTAGGTTTAGGGTATGGGTTAGGTTTAGGGTTAGGGTTAGGTATAGGGCTAGGGCTAGGGAAAGGGTTTGGGCTAGGGTTAGGTTTCTTGTTAGGGATAGGGTTAGGGTGAGGGTGAGGGTGAGATTTAGGGTTAGGATTAGTGTTAGGGTGAGGGTTTGGGTGAGTGTTAGGATTAGGGTTAGGGTTAGGGACAGGGCTAGGGTGAGATTTAGGGTTAGGTTTAGTGTTAGGGTGAGGGTTTGGGTGAGTGTTAGGATTAGGGTTAGGGTTAGGGACAGGGCTAGGGTGAGATTTAGGGTTAGGTTTAGTGTTAGGGTGAGGGTTTGGGTGAGTGTTAGGATTAGGGTTAGGGTTAGGGACAGGGCTAGGGTGAGATTTAGGGTTAGGTTTAGTGTTAGGGTGAGGGTTTGGGTGAGTGTTAGGATTAGGGTTAGGGTTAGGGACAGGGCTAGGGTGAGATTTAGGGTTAGGTTTAGTGTTAGGGTGAGGGTTTGGGTGAGTGTTAGGGTTAGGGTTAGTGTCAGGGTTCGGGTTAGGGATAGGGTTAGGGTGAGGGTGAGGATGAGGGTGAGATTTAGGGTTAGGGTTAGGGCTAGGGCTTGGGTTAGAGTTAGGTCTAGGGTTAGGGTTAGGGTTTGTGTTTGATTTAGGTTTCAGTTCAGATTAGGGTTTTGTTTAGGTTTAGGGTTAGGGGTAGGTTTCGTGGTCGGGTTCGGGTTTGGGCTCGGGTTCGTGTTAGGGTTAGGGTTAGGGTTAGGGTTTTGGATCGAGATAGGGTTAGAGTTAGAATTAGGGTTAGGGATAGGGTTAGTGTTAGCGTTAAGTTTAGGTTTAGGTTACGGTTATGGTTAGGTTTAGGGTTATTTTGGGGGTTAGGATTAGGGTTACGGTGAGGATGACCTTGAGGTTTAGGTTTGGGTTAGGGTTAGGTTTAGG